TTTCCGGGAGGAAAATACGTATGGGAGTATCGAATAACGAACGAGTAGGGTAAACTGCCCAGTAGATGGACGCCTGGGAAAACCGCCCAGTAGATGGACGTTTGTTTTTTAGCAATTGAAAAAAAATTGATCGAAAAAAAAATCGTCACTCAGGGATTAAGAATCACAACAGTTAGTGAAAATTCAAAGCAACAATTCACATTTCAGTATTTTTTTGCGTAATTTCCTATCCAAAAGTAGCTCTTCCATCTATAGGGCAGCGTCCATCTACTGGGTAGCTTACCCTAGTGCTGGAAATGGCATGTCTTGCGTGTGCAGAGAATGCAATTTTTTGTGAACTACTGAATCTATTTTTGCGACAAAAATTTTTCATTTCGGCGCACTGTCTGCACATTTGGCACAAAAAATCCTTTTTTGATAATTTTCAAAAAACTATTTTCTTGGCACAAGCAAGACTTGTTTGAGAATTCTGTCGTTATTCTCTCAGTGTGCCGACTGTTAATGGTTGGATGAACTAGGTGTTGCTCCGGCGGACATCCGAGAGCCACCGCGTTTAGCGCAATTAGTACTTGTGAAGTATGGGTGACCGCTTAGGAACACCCTCTAAATATCAGAAGAGAGAGGTGGGAGAGCAAGGCAGACGAATGAGGAGCCTATAAAACCGTAATGATCGTGGGAAGGAAAAATGTATAAAAAAAAATAATTGCTCTATAGCGAAATCAGTTCTTCTGAATTTTCAGTGGCTGGTTTTCTCTCTCGTATACATAGAGAGAAATGTTCAGTAAAAATTACGGAACTCACAATTCGCTCACCGATTACGGAATCGACTCAGAAAATCTAAGGGTGCCAAGTGAATTTGGCGATGACCTTGAAAATTGACATTCACCAACAAAGTTATAATTTTTTAAATTAATAGTATTAGACAGATGGTGAACATCGGTGACAAAAAATTAAAATTTAAAAACTAAAATTAAAGAAAAAATAAAATTTTTCTTAAAAATTTAGAACTTAAAATTTAAAAACTAAAAATTAAATTAAAATTTTAGAACTTATGGATATCGAGAAATTAAATAAACAAAATCAGTCTTACATCCGGCCTCTTATGGAGTTTTGATTAAATTAAACGTTTCAACCCCCTAGGAACTCAAGAACAATTTGAAAAAATTTGAAGATATGGGAAATGATGTGTTCAATGTGATGGCGACAAAAAACAATGGGGTACCGGGGTGAATAAGAGAGATATTTCAACCCGCCGTACCCATTTGATCCCATGCTTTCTCGAGGTTCGTCACGGGAAATAGAGGATTTTCCGCATTTATTTTCTCGATGTCTAGTTCCGGTCGCGGGTTTGAAATTTCGTCGGATGGATGAATACATATTTCTCCAATGATGGAGGGGAAGAAAAAATTTTTTTTGAATTTTTTTTCAAATTCACTTGGCACTCTTAAGTGACGGTATCGTAATTTTTCACAGGAGGTTCAGATAAAGATTACGGAACGCTCTGGAAAAATTCCGTGGCACTTCCGTGAAATTTCCTACAACCACATTTCGCTTCGGAATAACGGATACGTAATTTTTATTGAATAAGATACGTAATTTTTATCAAATATTTCTCTCCGTACATATGATTTAAATCGACAATTCGTTTTTAACATTTTTATTTCACCTTTGTACAAATATGAACAATGATTTTTTGTGAAATTATAAATAAAAGATTTATTTACATTAAAAATATCACCAGTGGGTTTTGGAGGGAAGGGCTAGTTCGAGCCGATGCTCATCGATGTGAAGCTCAGACTGATGGCGAGCTGGAAGGCCTCCTGTTGCAGATTCAGCAAAACAGTCTCCTGAAAATATCAGTTCAATAACAAATTATGAAACGAATGATTTCTTCAACTTCAAATAGAAATCCATCAAATTTTTGTTTTCACAATAATTGATACAATAATTGATAAAATAATCAGCTATAATACCCCAAGACCTTCAAAATTATTGGATATTTCCCGAATGTTTTGTTGCATATCAACGATCGGATCAGTTTTGCAGATTAAAATTTTACTGCAAAACTGATCCCGATCGTTGATATGCAGATAAACTTGAGGGAAATATCCGATGAACTTTGAAGGTCGAGGGGTATTCGGAGGACAATTTCTTCAATTCTGATTTTGGCTGATCAGGGTGCAGTGTTCGGGGTTACGGGACACATCTCACCAAAATGTGAGGAATATCTGTCAAATTCGTAGAAAACAATTGACAGGCTGCAGGGAAATTATCAGTCTGATAATTTCCCTGCAGCCGGGGAAATTATCACTGTGAAACGCATCACGTGACTCCAAATACTGCACTCTGATTGGTCAAAATCAGAATTGAGGAAATTGTCAAAATTATTCATAAAAAAAATAATCACCTCAGAGATGAGTGTCATAATTCAATGGTTAATGAAAAGTGGAATTGTGCATATCAAATACAGTATTTCTAAGCCTTGGAACCTTCGTGGAACAATCCAATTGGGGGAGGGGCGGGGGAGAACAAATATAGAGAACCTTCTCAGCACAGAATTTCGTAATCCACGAAAATTCTTTGCTGACATTTTCTCTTAGACTGGCTCATCAATGAAGTATTCTGAGAATTGGTAAATGGTGGGATTGTTCGTACAGCTGTAATGAGATTTTAATATTCTGGGTGCTTATCTCGGAAATGGGTAATCCTTCGTGAAAGTGCAAAATGTATCTTAATGTCGTTTCCTTCATTATCGAGATAATTTAACGACTGATGAATGAGTGAATCATTTATCGAATGTCAATTCCAGGACAAAATATCGAGCGATTTTTTGGAGTCTATGAAATGCTCGCAAAAAAAACATTGACATTTGTTCGTAAAATTCTTCATTACCGAAATCATTCTCTGAGCAACGATCGATTCAAGGTGTTATTTTATTCGACTCAAGTTCATTTCGTCACTCAATTCCTCAATCATCTCGTCAACAAATAATTACAACGCAAAATGTCTCGCAGCTTATGAAAGCCTCAAAGAAAAAAATATCCATGAATATTTTGCCCCCAAAGGGAGACGTGAGGAATTAAATTCTCCCTTCAGCACATACTTTATCTCTTCCCCAAAGCGAATAATAAATGTGATAAATTTATTCCACGAAGAATTAAATCTCACCAATTTTCTGAGCTCCTCGTAGGTGCTGGGGAGGGCATACTGAATCTGAAATCAAAACAAAATATTTACAATGACTGGATCGACCTTGAGGGACGTTCAGAATAAAAGAGAAGAGAATTACCTCAACGAGATTTCTGCGTCTCTGTTGCATCAGTCCAGAGAGTCTATCGTTCGTCATCTCCCCAGGGCCCGAGACAGCGTCCTAAAATCCCCAATTAATTAATCAATTAACCAATTAAATCGATAAATGATGAATTCAATTCGTTCATATTCAAAAACCGAATAAACAATAAACTGGATTAATTGTTAATTAATTTTTTTAAGTGTAGGGAAGGTTGGGGTAAAATGGACACTTTTTTTTAAAATGCTAGTGACGGGTTGAAATGTTGATGAAATTTAATAATTTTTCTTTTAATACAAAGAACAATTCTTTCCCTTTGTGATGAGCCTAAACTGAGCTCTATTCATAAGTTTGTTTCTGAGTTATGGATATTTTTTAAAAAGTCTAAAGTGTCAATTTTGTCCTATTAATTGAGCTTTAACAAAAATTTAATTGAAAAATTTTCAATTAACTTTGTCGTCGATAAAAACGTCTGAAAAAAACAACGAAACATGAACTCACCTGAATCTGCTGGAGATGGTTCATCTCAGCCTCAAGAGTTTTAATTCTCTCCTTGAAGCCATCGACTCGATTATTAAGAAAATTAATTTCCCCTGCGATCCAGCCGCACTCCTGCTCAATCCCCCTCAACCTCTTGGTTATCTCTCCAGCCTCTCCCATGGCTCCAACGATATCGAATCAAACAAAGAAAAAAAATGTCGCAGCTGTCCCTTTGTGTTGACACGGGACGCTAAACTGGAGCGAATGATACGCGAGATAAAGCAGATCGTGACTGGATCACGTCGAGAAACGAATGCACTGAATCGTTGATTTATGAGGCCGGGTAGGCGATCCTTTGACACCTGTGGCGGGGGAGCAAGTGGGGACCGACAATTGCCGAATGGTTCCGACAATAATTTGAAGTGGCACGAATGAGCGAGGAGAAATAAATTCAAGAATTAAGGCCCGGGTGTCCTATCTTTCGAATGTTATCTGGATTTTTTTTATCTTTCGTAATCCAAAATTGTCAATTGAGTGGTACATCATGTAGAAATTCCCAAAAATTATGATGGAATGATTAAAAAAATAGAATAAATTCTGAACTTTTTCAAAGAGGGTTTTTCAGTAGTGAAGCGGTAAACCGAGTTAAGTCGATTTTGACTATTAGCCAGTTTTTGCTGAATATCTCGGAATCTAAGAGAGATAGCAAAATTTTTCTCATGACTTTTTTTATAACGCTCTATTGGCTCTACAAAAAAGGTCATGACAAAAATCTTTCTATCTCTTTTAGATTCCGAGATATTCGTCAAAAACTAGCCAATAGTAAAAAACGACTTGACCCGGTTTACCGCTTCGCTACTGAATTGAGATTCAAAATGAGTTGAAAACAGTGGAAATTACAAATATCCGATTCGCTGTGGCAAATTATCTATTGGTTGTCATTTTCCGTGGTGGATAACAAAACACTAACTCCTCATGGGAAGTGACAGCTAGGTATCTCAATTTTCAAAACAGTGGTATGTAGTCATCTGCCATTTTTATGTGATAAAAGTGTGATTAAAAAATTCTCCAAAATATTACAACTTTTTTCAAAGAGCCTTTTCCGTAATAAATGTCTCTGTGCAGTGTGGGAAAAAAATTACGAAATCAGTCTTCCCACTGCACGATATTGAGTGACATAAATTGAAAATGCTCATTGAAAAAATTAAGAATTTTTCCATTAATACATATGTAAGGAAATATTTAACAATATTTCCATTAATACTTCGATTTATTGATATTTAGACAGTCATTATCTTCTTATTAATTACAAAATAAAATTTGGAACATTATAATTTCAAAATAGAAAACTGAAAAATTTCATTTCAATAGGGACCACTTGAGTTGTTCCTTGGCAGACTGAAAGACCTAGAAAATGAAGAGAAAAAAAAAAATGCCCTGAATGAGAAGAATTTCGGCAGCAAAACCTCAAACACTTACTATCATCGACTGTGCAGGCATAACAGAAAATGAAATAAAAATTTCGTGCAGATGATCAGTAATTGTCAAGACAGGAGGCTATATTTTACCTGTGCGACGGTTTGTTCACCGAGGGGAATGTCGTCTGTGCGCAGGGCCACCCTCTGGACGACACTGGCCGCATCCGCGTCGAGAATAATACTTGGGAAGAAATTTAGAATTAAGTATTGAATTTTCGATGTTTATTACATCGACTGAGAGGAATGGAATATTTACCCTCCATCGCAAATTTCATCCATCGCCAGCATAACAATGTCTAGACTATCCAAAACAGCTCTTTTCTCGACATTTCTTCTCAGTATTTGACTTACAGAGTCGTAGAGACAGTTGAGAACACTCATGAGGATCAGCTGAAGGCGATAGAAAATTAATTTATTTATTAATAACAATTCGTAGAATCAACGACGTATAAATATCCTCATTTATTTAAGAAATGGAATTGTCCACTTGTTTTAGATATTCATAATTCAGGAATGAATTCATTAATTGGGCTCACTCTGGGCTCATTTCAAAGGGAAAGAAGCATACTCTCTAACGAAAAAAAATTATTTCATTTTACAATTCACATTTTTGAAAATTGTTTCATTGGGTAATATGGACACCTGATAAATCAGTATCGTGTTCGTTTTTATAAACTTCTAATGAAGTCGGAACAGTAGATTTGATCCAATTCAACTCATTATTTAAAGTAGCTCTACCCTCCGGCCGGGCTACGCTGTACTTTTGGATATTTTCAGTTTTTCAATTTTTCAACTGGATTGCATGGAAAACATTTGAAAAAATTCATACCCAGTCAGCATTATCTAAATTAAATTTCGCAAAATATTGAGATTTTTTCAAACATTTCCCTCTTATAAATGAATAATAAAACTTGTTTGCAAAACGGTGGATTATTTTTTATGTGTCAAAAAAATTCTTGATTTTTTCACATCTAACGAAAATAAATTCAGATTTTAATCTTTGATTACAATGGAAATGTTGATTTTCACATAAGACACTGGGTTAAATCCTGATTTTTAAACATTTCTTCTTTGAAAAACCAAAACGATAATTAAATTGAGAAAAAAATTAGAATTCCGAATCAAATCGAGTTTTCTGCAATTTTTTTGCAGTTTTCAATAATTTTTGAATTGACCGTAAGGGTAGAGCTATTTTAAATCTGGTGTCCATACTGCCCCACCCTCCCATAACTACCAAAATAATTAAACATCCAACAATTATTGAAAAAACAAACTGATAATTTACCTCATTCTCGTGGGAACTTCCCATGACATAAAAATACAGATCAACATTACTCCTGTAGACACACGTCATTCCATCCAACATAATGATCTCTGTGTTCGACCTGTGAGTCTTATTGAACAAATTCTTCTCGAAGGCCTTCTGCTCCTTCGAAGTTGGGAAAATGTTCTTGTCGTAGTACTTTGCCAGGATTCTGTTGCCATCGTTGTCAAGGATGGCCATCCCCTTGACAGTGTAGAGTGTGGGTTCCTGGAGAGATGAAATTTCACTCATAATGGAGGAAAAAAACTGAACACAACAGATGAAATCACAGATAAAACCAGAACTATTTAAGTAGTAAATCTTCTATTTCGTACAAATGCTCCTTTTTCATCACCACAATCCCCCTGCAACATGAAGTTGAGGTTATGTGGACTTTTTTTCGATGATCCAGAGCGTATCATCTCTATAAATACCCCTCAATGCATTCACTGATAATCCACGAATGACCCGAGAAAACAAAATCGCAAGCGCCTGTTGAAAGAAAAAAAATAAATGAAAAAGAAGAAAAATCTTACCAACAACTGTCCATCCATGTTTACGTTTGCCAGCGACGTGTCAAATCTTGGATGACGTCACTACGTGGGTCAGTTGCGCACCGGGTGGTATTATATTTTATAACAAGTTCAAATCGATATTTTTGGGATAACAAATATTTATCAAAATTTATTGCATTATGTACACGATTAAAATGTTAACAATTAATGCTGAGTGATGAGATATTCTCCGGGTCTAGGACGACTTTTTGAAGACTTTCAGGAGTTTTCTGATGAACTCTGGACCATTCCAGTAACCCCTGTGCAGAAAAATAGTATTGAGGAGATTAATTCATTGTTTAAAAAGTTTTATTTTATTTTTTCAACTTTCTCCATAATTTAAAATACTTGAGAATTAAAAAAAAAATTTTTTTTTCGTAGGGAATTTCCAACAAATAATGGCTTTGCTTTCTTTTCTTCAGAGTGAAATAGCTTGAGGATGAAAGAGGTGAGCAGAAAATGTCAGAATTTTTTTGTTATTGGAATTGAGGAAATTTTCAACGAAAAAAATATTTTAGGAGAGGTTGGGGTAAAATGGACACTTTTGACTTTTTTAAAAATATTAGTAACGGGTTGAAATGTCGATGAAATTCAATCATTTTTTTTCAATATAAAGAAGAATTCGTTCCCTTTGTGATGAGTCTAAACTGAGCAATATTGATACTTTTGTTCCTGAGTTATGTATAATTTAAAAAATGTCGAAAGTGTCCACTTTACCCTACCCTCCCCTAGTATTTTGACTAAAATTGACTGAATAATTTTTCCAAACATTTTCAAAAATTTGAAAAACGTGAGGATTTTTTTTTGTAGAATAGGAAATTTCGAGCAAAAAATGTTTTTGTTTCTATTTTTAACGCGAAATAGTGAGAATGACAGAGTTGAGAAGAAAATATCAGATTTTTTTTTATGGAGAAACTTTCGAACGAAAGAAATATTTTGGTATTTTCCGCTAAAATTTATAATTTCCCGATAATTAGAGAAGTTCATAGACAAAAGAATCAAAAACATAAGACGAATAATGATAATTGCTCAGCAAGAATTTAAAAAATATCATGAACTCACTTCAACATAAAATTCCAGTACAAAAACGGGAAGAATTCCTTCTTCATAAAATACATTATCCACATTTCATTCTTCTGATCAACAGGGAATGTCTCCAGTGGCTGTAGATTATAATCAAATTCGGCTAGAATACACTTGCCAGGACCTGTCACCAGTGGACAGGAGGCATATCCATTGTAGACTCCTTGCAAGGATTTTCCTTTCAAATCGTCCAGGATATTCTGATGCAGCACTTTAGCTTGTGATGCTACATTTAAAAAAACATTAACATTTTTACGAGAAAAATTTCTAAAAAATCTCCCAACATTCCCATTTTGTTTTATCAGTTTTTAAAATAAAATGGGTTTCTATTATCCTTATTATCGCATTATAATTTCGTTGAATATTCAATTATTGCGCTAATGATCAGTAATTTCTAGGGAAATGTTGGGAGAAAAATTTCTAGGAATTTTCCATCTCGTTAAATACTTAATTATTAATTTGTTCTACTCTTTTCTAATATTTTTTAACAACAAAATTAATTCCATAATTCACCTATTGCAGCCATTGTTTTAGAATTCGGGGTAGTAGTGCAGTCTCCAATACCATAAATATTATTAAACCGATTGTGCCTCAAGGTTTTAGCATCAACAGCTAGGAATCCAGCCTCATTAGTCAAAACTGGATGATTCTTGAGGACATCTGGAGGTCCCATAGGTGGACAAACGTGTAGAAATGAATACTAGAAGCGAATAAAAAGTATAAAGTTGATTTCGAGTCTGTCTGAAGCACAGGAGTCCCTCCTGAGGTACCTGTTGAGTGATTTTCTCCCCAGGATTCTTCAGATTCTCGAAAACAGCTTCCTTCTTGTCGCGATTTATCTCTGTCAGCGAGGTCTGAAGGTTGACTCTGATGTTTCGTCTTTCGCAGACACCCCACAGGGCATCTGCGTACTTCTTCACTCCGAAAATTACGGGAAGAGAGGTGTTGTAGATAACTTCAATGTCTTTGCGATGATTTTTCTGTGAAAAAAGTGTTGAAGGGATTATTTTCTCGTTTGAATTTAGAGGTAGACTTGAAAATTCGTGGTAATTTTTATGATATTAGGATTCCCTTGAAATTTTGAAGGGAATTATTTCGAATAAATTGAAAATTTCATGAAAAAATCAATGGATGCTGTAAATTTTCGTTCAATTATTCAATGAAAATTGGTCAAAATCAGGTAAATTCAGGTGAATATATTCTTTAATTTTTAATAAATTGAAAATTGAGTGTGATTTGATAGTGAATATTCATGTTTCGATTGAAAATTCAAATAAAATAGGAAATTCTCAGTAAAATTTCCAGTCAAATGTGAAATTTCATAATCTTTCCCCCAAAAATCGAATTAACATAATTCTCCTGAAAATGAATAACTTCAACGTCTTTGCAATGATTTTTCTGTGAAAAATGTATTGGTCAGGATTATTTTCTCGTTTGCACTGCGAAATCACACACAGACATGGTCTTCAGACCATTCTGCATCATTTCCAATAAAAATTAGAGAATGTGAAAATCGAAGGATTGCAATGCTTCCATTCGAAAGCAAAAAACGACCAAGATTACGTTCGAAAGATAATCCACCCGGGTCTTAATGCAATTTTTACTGAAATCTGAAATTGTATAATTTTTTTGTGTGAAAATGTGATTTTTACTCTCGTCCAGAAGTCCTCAGCGATGTACGCGATTTTCTGGGGCGCCCCTGGGCACTTGACAGGTGTATGTGGGAATGTAAATACCCCTGGACCCCTAGTTGTTTTTTTCATTTTGTCGAAGACCCCCTGAACTGTCTCTGGTCCGTAAATCGAGCATACCTGGGAGTCCGGGTCTCTCAGGGCATCCACCAGCCCAGGAATCTATGCAAACAATTTCCCGAGATGAATAGAGAATTATGAAACATAACTAATTTGACTTATTACGTTTTACCACTTGGCTACTGATTTTTTTCTCCAATGTACCTTGGCCCAGTAAAGCTGCAATCCCATGGCAACGATCATTAGGTCATACTGTATTGTGTCCCCATTGCTGGTTGTAACTTTGTTAGATTCCGGCTCAAACGACATCACACTGTCCTTCAGCCATTGAGCTTTTTTGGGTAAAACGTCACCCATGAATCGCCTAGACGACTGAAACTTCTTCAATCCACCTCCGATCAGTGTGAACATGGGCTGATAGTAGTGAATCTTGAAAGATAAAGGGAGAAATCGAAATTTAATTCCATTAACTGGAACATTTTTGGTTTATGCATATTAATTATGATCGTTGTGTATTTATTCGTGAATTTAAAAAGAAGTTAGTCGCACTCCAATTAGATTTGAGAAGTAATTTGAATCTTTTTCGAAAACCACATGAATAAAAATTTCACGATTTTTTTATTCCAATAATATTTTTTAAAATTGTGAGTAATAACTGTTTTTTTAAATATGTTCTTTAAAAGATATGTTTAATGTATATTTTTGAAAGAATTTTTCCAGAATAAAACTTGGCAAAATAGATTGCTGACCAAAAATGTTTCACCTATTTTTTAATAGACGATTTTACCTCACTGGGTTCAACGACAATCACATGATTCGGGGCCTTGTCGAATTTCCTCGCCAATTTAGCAGCCATTGTGCAGCCCCCTGTGCCCCCTCCAACGACTAAAACCTTGCAACTGGAGGAAAAACAAAAATTATTTCAATTAACGAAGATTTGATTAGCGAAATAGTGGAACGTAATAAAACAGAGTAGAACAGAACAGACACTTTTCACTGGACATTTCCTCGGATATGAAAAAGGTCTTGTGGCGATTCTCTCTGAAATTACGCACTCACGAACCATAAAAATAAATTGAAATAAATTTTTGGGAAAATTTCTCAAAATTGTTTTGATGGAGTTGACTACTGCTCTAATGAATGAAGTGATAGGGGAAGATGGACAATATGGGCACTTCAATTTCTTCCTCAATTTTTTATATTTCAACAATGTTATTCAATTTTTGAAACACTAGTCATGACTGCGATTTTT